GGCCGGCGCCATCCCAGCGCCTCCGGGACCCCGGCCGAGCCACCCCGGCCATGTCCCCCGGTAGCAGCCGGTGGCCGGTCCGGTTGCTGGCGGTCACCTGGCTGATGGCCGTCCCGTCCCTGGGTCAGGAGTGCTCCGCGGAGAAAATGGAAGATACCATCATCGACATCGACATCTCTCTGGGCCGAGGCATCCGGGGCGCAGAGCCAGCCTACGCCCCCACCGCGGGGGCCTGCCTTCGCGCTTGCTGCTCCGGGGAGAAGCTCTCAGGTAACCGGCTCCTCCTCGGCCCTTTGCCGTAGTCCGACGTGCGACCGCTCGGGAATTACTCCTGAAGTTTGGGCTCGCGGGGTTTTCAGGCAGAAGGGACAAGGCGGCTCTCTCTAGTCAGCACAGAAGCCTTAATTTAGGCTTTCGTGCCCGCTGCGACGAGTAACAGCTTGCGGCTGACCGTCCCGGCTCGCCAAGCGTGGTGTTGGGTCTTAACGCAAGACCCCGTAGCATTCAGGAATCTAGTTGCAGCAGAGAAACAGCGGTAGTTGTAAATGTTACAGCCTCTCACGTCCCCTGACTCGACGAGTTGCGCTTGGTGGACGCTCTACAAAGTAAGCGGCGCTTTGCGCCGTGTTTAATTTTAGCCGAAAAATGAGAGCGCTTGCCCTTCTCTGAGACTGCTGGTTCGCATCAAGGTCTCGGAGCAGCAGCAGGAGGTAGAGCAGCAAGGAGAAATGACAGTGGTAAAGGTGACTCCTCCATCGGCGACAAGCCAAGCGGTTTCTGGGATGGGATAGGGAAAAGCGCATAAATCATTTTCTTCCCTGTGAGTATATCAAGGAGGTTTTCAGATCTATCAGGATTTGTAAGTGAGAAATTGTTATATAGGAAGTGGTGCCGGTGTGGTGTGGGTGAGGGGAGGATGAGGAATTAGACTCATTGTTTCCCCAAGTTCATCTGTACGGGAAGAGGAAGGTATGACCTTTCATGTATTGGCCCAGGGCCATTCTTTTGCAGTCCTGGGCTGTTTTTCCTGCAGGAATGTTACACATTAGTAGTTTTCCTCTTACTCACACGAGGAAAAATTAATCTAACAAACTAGAGCTCGTTATCAAGATGCTATAAAAGTTCTTATTGCTGAAACATGTATTTATCATGTTTTGCAGGAGACAAGAAGTGCAATTTGATGATTTTTGATGCTCGAAGGACAAGCGCACATCCAAACTGCTACCTGTTTTACTGCCCTAGCACAGAGGCTTGTCCAATGAAACCCGTGACAGGATTTGTGAGCTACAAGATAACGAGAGGTAAATAACAGTGAGAGCCACCAGTCCCCACACTAGATGACTTTTGCACCTGTGAGTTTTCAGTAGTGACCAGAAAATGTTTGGGGGTTGTGTTTTTGGTAAAATGTTCTAAGCCAAGCACCATAATTTGAAAGTGCTGCTCTTTTGCTCTGTGGAAGATGGATGGGCAGGTGTGTGGTGAGCTCCTGCATGGGCCCAGCTTCCCAGCTGGAATAACATCCCAACCCTTATGAAATTCCTTCACATTAGATTCAGAACTCCTCATAATTTTCCCTTGCTTAAAACAAAAAGAAGCCGCTTCCGTCTTGATATATTCAAGAAGGAAAATTTCCTGTATGTAATGCTGAAGAGTTATCACTGAAAGCAATGGAAATACAATGCCCTTGTAAGCCATCACTGTATTCAAAGGATCCATGCTACTCTGATGAATACCATATACACACAGGCAGAAACACTGAGCAAATGTTGGGCAAGCCTCGGAGCACCGGTGTGATGTTGCTGAGTAATTGGCGATAGTAATCATTATCTTCTGCTTTCAGTTAGGGAACCTGAAGCGCAGATGCAAACTGCCTAAACTCAAAACTTTATGGCATGTGGGCTGCACACTCAGAAATTTCTTGCTATCTGTCACGTGCTGTGGGATTTTTAATAGTGAGTCTTACTTGTTGACTGACGTTGACTTGCACCAGACCTGTTTGAACGGCTCAGATAAGAAACTGATAATTAGACTGTCCTCCTGCCAAGAGTTCACAAGGTGGTTTCAGTGTGGCTGCTTGAGAGAGCAGAAATTTCATATTTCCAGAGACTGAACTTTTGCTGAAAAAGAGAACTTTTCCAAGAGGAACTGTGCAAGGAGTGACAGCCAGATATGTAGAAAGATTATTCAGATAATGTTACCAAATATTTTTGTGCAAGCATAATCACACAGGAATTGGGCAAAAGCAATGTGCAACAAATGAATTACATGCCTGTAAAATTATCGTTAGAACTATTCTTTTCTCCAGCTCTTTCTCTCCTAGAAGCATATGGGGGTTTCAAACAAATAAACAAGAAATGTAATCATGCTTGTGCTTTTGTCCTGCATGTAGTGTAATGCTTAGTTAACAACTTGATTGCCTATACCATCTCTTTTTAATTTTGCATTTTTTAGCTTCTGTGAACATTGAATTATGGAAAGATGATGCTAGCTTATTTACGCTAGCTTATTTACCTTATGTTCCTAAGAAGTTTTCAAAGGTGGCACCTGGGTGGCGTTGGTACGGACAAACATTTCAAGCTTCGTTTTTTTGTATGAGAATCTGAATGTGGTTACCCTGAAAACCAAACTAAAAGGGGGAAAGGTGCTTTACTGGTAATAAGGCAACTTAAAATACTAATGCTATGTTGGTAATGAAATTTTGTTTTTTCTTTTTTTAACTATCCTTGTGGCTGCTAACTAATGGAAACAACCTATGGCTTGGGAAGTAGAACATTTCCTGGTCCTAGTTGCAAAGAGCTCTTGCTAAAAAAGTAATAACATTTCTGGTTTCTGCTGTTCATGTACTTTTGTGGCACTTGCCTTTTCCACCCCACCAAGATACCCAGGCAAGACTGCTGGGTTCTAGCAAAGTATGCTCAGGAGGTGTTTAGTTTGTTTTTGAAGAGTGACAACCTAAAGTTTGGTTTCTAATGCAGTTTATCGGATTTGAGATACCAGCAGGACCACTTGGGTTTTTAATCTCTTTTTAAAGTTTGACTTGTGTAGCGCCCTTGTTCTTTCTTACCAACAACCTTATCTATCCTAATACCCCAGCTGGGCCTCGCATGCAACAGTTTTGGGCAATTACTTTTGGGAGTTTGTAGCCTAAAATGGAGACAAAAGTATACTATAAAATCAATGTTTGATGCTGAAAACGTGGAGTAGAGTTAATTAATGCAGGCAGTTACATTAATTAATCCAAGTGCGGCAGAGTATCATTGATACTTAACTCCTGTATGGGACTCGTCAGGTAGCCTCCCTCTCCCTGTGCTCCCTCCACCCGTCCTTTGAACGCTGCATGAATGCTCGGGGCTTTTCTAGCTGTTGCCCAGGCGAGTGAAGTGAAGATGCCATAGCATGCTGCAAGCGCTTTGTGGCTGTCACACAACATCCGCCGTTTGTTTAAACGCGCGGGGCGGGGGGAGCATCCCTGGGAGTGCGTCGGGAACAGGGAAAAAGTGAGTTGAGGACTGACTCTGGTGGTGACAGGCCATTTCCTCGCTGGTCTGGAAGTGTGTCCAGAGCTGCAGAAGCAGCTGAGAGTTTGGGCGTCTTCGGCCGTACAGTTTCTGATTCTGAAATCGCTGAACATTTTGTTACTTAAGGCCACTCTCTAAAAACAGAGTATGGCTTTCTCTAAGTCAGACCTTGTGGTTGGAATCCGTAATCTCTGTCTAGGATCTTGCTTTGCTAACAAGCTGGTGCCTGACTGGAAGGGTAGGATTAAAATTGATGTCTATAGTTCAAGGGAAGTAGTTGCTGTGCTCTTGTTTAAAGCATTGCCAGTTTTTTTGTTTGTTGTTTTTGGTGGGGTTTTTTGCACTTTGGTTTTTTGTGGAGTCTTAGGGCTTGGAAATACATATTAAGACAGCAGCCAACTAGGCTTCTTTGTATGTATAATAAAACTGACATAAATCCACCCCTCTAGATAAGAGTTCCTACTTGAGAAAAAAGTGACAATGAAAATGTCATAGACTTTTTGTTATTTGTTTCAATTCCAGTGCAGTTAAACCTCTTTTTGTCTATAAAAAAGAGATGAGTGAGAGTCAGAACTACATGAGAGCATGTTCTCTTTTAAATGTTCTGTGCGGCAGCTGAATGATAATATGTATTATAATTATAAATACAATTATAAAATTAATATATGCATGTATATAAATCTGAATTATAACAATTAGCCAGTCTTTCCAAGAACTCGTGCTCACCCGAATTTTCTCTATAATACCTGTGTAGAATGAGATAGCTGCTAGGATTATCATTTGTATGGAATTTCTGTCACATAATGCTGTTGCCCTGCTTCCAAATTCTGTTGAAAGACCTTCACCCACCTGTTATGCAAGGAATACATATTGACTTCTGGAGAAATCATAAAGTGTAGTCTGCTTCTTATGGAGGCCTTCACTGCAAATACCTTGGAGACTCTCGAGCAATGTCTTTCTTCTAGCATGGCAATAGGAGCTAAGGTCTTTCCTACAAATCAGTACGTGTATAAAATTGCCTATAAAATGGGGGTATTATTGCCACCTCGTATCATAAGACACTTTTTGTATGTGAACTGAATTGTGTCAAGCAATCACAGGGTGCTTGGATATTACAAGAAAGGAGACTATATCATCATCTTGGCTAGGTGGAAATGTGTATGTCTGACAAATAAAAGTGATGTTGGTAATATCTACTTCTTAACTGACAGAGGTGGAGAATGGTTTGAAGGCAATGGGCCTGCTCACTCTGCTTTTCACCTCTAAATAAAGGCTTACATGCATGCAATAGGAATATAAAACAATCGGATTGGGATGCTTGCTCTGCACAGGTGAATGCTGTAAGAAGCTGCATCAGGGTCCGATATGCCCAGGTTTGAGGCTGACATGTCTTGTGACACAGACAGAATTTAAAAGTTACTCTCCATATTTTAAAGAAAGGAAGATCTTGATGCCTCAGTTTCATTAGCCTTTACTTTCTGGAGCCCACTTATCTCTCTCTTACTGAGAAATACAAATAGAGTAAGCCTGTGGGAGTCAAAGAGAGATTAATAATTAAATACTGGTATTCCCTTTCTGTTTCCAGACACCCATGCGTCAGAGGATACAACCTTCAAAAGTGAGGACTTTTCTTCAAATGGGTATTCTTTGTCCTTGGATGCTGGAGCCTTTATTTCTCGCAGTCAGACTAGCCATCAGAATCCTACTGCTGCTTTGCAACAATCTGTCTCTCATCAGACATCTGAACTGAACCACGTGGGCAAGCATTTAGACAATGCTGAAGTTCATACCGTTTTTCCTGAATCTCAAAAGGCAAAACATCCTGAGAGCTTAGACCCCATCCCAAGGCAGAAAGTAATTAACCTGCTGCCGCCAAAGATGTCTTCTGCTGTTCAAATTGGAAACCTCTCTGCTTCGTTCCCCACCACTCAGTCTAGCGCTCCTGAACACAGCAGTACTACTCTTACTCCGCTGCCTACAAGCACCACCCGACTGGAGTCCCATAAAATCTCTCTGCATCCTGGTGGTGCTGAACCTCCTCCTGTCACCACCACCACCACAGCTACCTTTCCACCTACTTCAACTGCTAGAGCTAAACCTGGTGTCCCTGCCACCAGCATCGCTGCTACTCGTGTTCCTCTTTCCAGTTCCACAACTTCCTCTACTTCTACAATCAAGCGGGTGACCACGAATTCCAGATCTGCTACCACCCCGTCGGGGCTAAGAACTTCAGCCGTGCCTCCTGAGCCAACAGTTGTGTCTTCCAACAATACCAGCCAGGTTACCCTCCTCTCTTTGTCAGGTTTCGCTCCGTCTACTAGTGATTCCCCCATGGCTTCCCAAAATGACCCTCAGGGTTATGACCCCTCTGATTCAGGAAGCTACCTGCCAGAGAGTGTTCTGAGAGGGAAAGGTGTCGTTCAGCTGGGAGAAAAAAGCAGCCTTGTAGCGGCTTTGCTTTTTGGGGTGATATTCCTGTTGCTAGTTATTGCACTGACAGGGAAGAAAATAAGCGAATCTCTTCAGAAAAGGCATTATACCAGGCTGGATTACTTGATCAATGGAATGTATGCTGATGTATGATGGGGAGAGGGAATAAGATTGTAAGGAGCATCTGTCATCTTTGAGAGGACAACTATGAAATGGAACAGTAGATACTGAAATCTCAGAAGAGGATAGATTTGGGTTTTGGCTGCTAATGGGAAAGCGGCAGATGGCTTTGGTGGGGAATAGAACTGCTCTTTCTACGCTGAACTATAATCACTATCATTTTTCATTTATTACTAAATCCTGAAAATAAACACTCAAATCCAAGTTAAGCTAAGAAGGTCTTATATTTAAGGAGAAAAAGCATTTCAAGAGCTTAATCTGTACTGTGACAAGATTAGTGGAATAGAAGTACACCTAATAAATTGAGGACCTCTGCAGCGCGTGAGAATTTTCAGTGCTGTTTGCACCAAATGCCACAGTGTTACATGATTGTCTGGCAATCCTATTTACTCTGTTTGTAGCCTTAAAGGAGTACTTAGTAGTAGAGCTTTGCGTCCAAATGGTTTTAGGTACAAACAGTAAAAATTGTAGTACACATAGCATAGCTTAATTTTCCTTAGCTACATATAGTTTATGGATATATATGAATCTTTAATGTTTTTTTCCACATACATCTCAAGCTATCCTTAAAACTACGTGCTGCAGATCTGCGTTTGCCTTTTCCAAAGAGCTCGCCACCCTGTAGCACATTGGCTTTTTGCAATATGTGTCAGAGAGAAGGAGTTTTTATCATATCAAAGTAAACCAAGCTGCAGTCAAGCTCTTAGTAATGGCGTGACCAAGTGACTTGGCATATGCATGAGAGAGAATCTGTTCTAATGTACCAAAGTCCCTAACAGTTGAGGCTCAGCACCTGATCATAGAGCAGGCAGAAACTTGTGAGGGGGCTTGGCAAAGACACCACCTGTGTTATTGGCAGAAGACACACAGGAAGGTGTGGTCTCCTTTCGCTGGACATCTCAGGGGAGGTAAAGAAGTTTTAAAGGAAAATGGTGGCTATGTTGTAGGAGGGTGCCAACCTCAAAGAAGTTTCCTATGGTCAGCAGGAGCAGATGAACAAGGTTGCATTATCTTCATGCTTCTGGTGTTCTCCGACTTCGCTCACCAGGTTGGTGGCTCTTGAAAGAGCTGCTTGCAAGTGCTGGACTTGCTGTCCCTCCCAAACACGCAGAGCTTTTACCAGCTTTCAAAGCACACCCTCTTCACTTCTAGGGTCATCTTCACGTGACCAGTAAGCATAGCTGCTCCGTATGTTTCCCCACCTCTGCAACAAGAGATGAGTGAGAGTACGTGTGAGCATCTACTGCTTGCTACACAACTTCCAGTTTATATTATTTACGTTTCACCTTACACACACCGAGTCTGAATCTGATTTTAGAATGAAAGACTAGATCTCAGAGTATCCATGTGGCCGGCAGCATAATCTATGACAAACATCAGGTCAGAGAAAGAAGGGTGCCTCATGAATACAAGGAAATAATTCTATTACAAAATATGAAATGTGACTCATGTCCAAGAAGTTCTTAGATCTGTCAAGCTTAGTGCGGTGGGAAGCAATCGTGATCCAAAAATGGCCTCAAGGTAAGTTTTCTGAGAGCTCTAACAATAACTTTATGCAGAAAATTCTCTGAAAATTCCATTATTCAAAGATCAAAGAAGAGTCAGTGTTCCTTATGTCAAGATATATGGAGGCTGCAAATTGCTTTATACATACAAAACCAGCTGGTCTTCTACATTGCTTAAGTCTGACAACGCTTAAATGAAAAACATTCTGGATAACCTCTTTAAAAGTGAACAAAATTACAAAAGAAGAGTATCTCAAGTTTATCAGCTTGTCTGTTGACTGCACTTTGTTTAACCTCAGTTTCTTTTTTTTTTTTTTTTTTTAAAACTATTTTTAAAGGTTTCTGGTCAAGGAACATGACGAGGGGTAACAACATTTCTGGGAAATGAGTTAATAAAATGACAAGTAGTAGGCCCAGTTGTGGGCTGTAAAAATGCGGGTGCAGATCTGAGGTTGACCGCAGTTTTCTCCCAAAAGAACTACAACTTTGCAAGAAGCCTTCTATGTTGCTGATGCCATTACGGCAGCTTATTGCAGGAGAGGTGCTGAGAACAACCCCTGAATCCTCACTGTGCATTTCTGCTGTAATAACTAATTTGTTGGAGGGAGAGATGGTTGGTATTAATTGGTACAGTACAGTACAGTAGAGCTGTGTTCAAGAGAAGGCAGGCAGGCATATCTCGGGGTCGTTCAGAGCACTGGGCATGTATTTGGCTAATATCATTAGAAACATTGCCCTCCAACCCAAACAGCAGTGTATGTCAAGCATGGTGAATGGCAGAAGTAAAGCAGAGAGGTGCACAGGTACCATGACTAATTCGGTGGGGATGCTGAGTGGAGTGGCCTTTCACAGTTTTTGAGTGAAACAAACAACTTTAAATGTTCTTACCTTAAAAATCCTTTTTTATGCTTGAGCAAGGAAATGTAGGTATTAGGCAGGTGTACTGAAACACCTTTTTATTTTGCCATCCATTTGTCTTGTTGGATTAAGAAAAATGGAATTATTAGGTGACCAGTTTGAATCTTTCTGGAGGGCCATTTACAAGCTGAAGCTATGTTTGAACACTAGAGGGCAACAACAGTTTATTGAATAGAATTGACAAGTTTTGAGGATGCCAATTTAAAAATGTTTTAATTAGCTCGGTTTTTTACTTTCCTATCAATGGCTATTTCATTGCAAAAATATTTTATAGGAAAGCTGGTTTTTTTATTGGAAGGTTCTGGGTGGAGGATTATATACGCGCACTTTTAAAACTTCTTACTATATCATATAGTGGTAGTGAACAGCTGTAGAAGGCAACAAAACTAAGCATTTTATCTTCTCTATTTTAATAATGTTAAATCAGATTGTATTATTAGTCACGTATGGGCATTGCCAGTTAACAGAGCAGGAGAGAGAGATTTCCTATCGTCATTCAACTATGCTGCTTAATTATATGCGTTTTGGGAGCTAATTTATTTGTCTGGATAATGCTCTTGTATAATGAAACAGAAAGGAGTGAGACAGAGTAACTGTAAAAAATCCATCCAGTTTTTATGGTTTTCAACACTGTCTATCTGAAATTCCTGTGCACTCTTCTGTTTTTCCATTGGCGTCCTCTGTGGTCTTAACTGTGCACCACACTCATGTCACTGGATCATCAGCCATCATGATATGATGACAACCTGTGCACTTGGGGTGGCTCTTTCTGAAGGTAACCAGTTACGTTATGGCTCGAGGCCAAAAGCTGATTGACTTTAATCACCTGGAGAGTGTAATAAGTGCTGTAGCTGCTTGTTTTCATGTTGTTGCTTTATAGCGTTGAGCAAACATGAAGTGTGTAAATACCTAAATATAGACAGTGGTGAACAAAACTGTTTTGTGGTATTGTACAGTAGGGCAAATAGAAAGCCCAAATTTTATAACCACTGCAAACAATCTTAAAGAAATAAATTGCAGATCTATTTGAGATGTATGAGAAGAGCACATAGTCCCTACCTCAAAGGGCTCCAAACTCAGTGTAGCATGTTCTCTTCAAATTCAAATGCTTCAGTTTATTGTAATTCCTTTAGGAGCGGAAAATGCTTATACTCAGGATTCTTTCAAGTAAATTACTAACTGTGGTGGGTTGACCCTGGCTGGATGCCAGGTGCCTACCAAGCTGCTCTATCACTCCCCTCCTCAGCTGGACAGGGGAGAGAAAATACAGTGAAAGGCTTGTGGGTCGAGATAAGAACAGGGAGAGATCACTCACCAATTACCATCATGGGCAAAACAGACTCAACTTGGGGAAATATTAATTTAATTTATCCAACCCTGATTTTATTGGTAATAATGAGAAATAAAAACTAAATCATAAAAACACCTTCCCCCCACCCCTCCCTCCTCCCCAGGTTCAACTCCACTCCCAATTTTCTCCACCTCCTCCCCGCCAGCAGCACAGGGGGATGGGGAATGGGAGTTGGGGTCAGTTCACATGTTGTCTCTGCCGCTCCTTCTTCCTCAGGGGGAGGACTCCTCAACACTCTTCCCCTGCTCCAGTGTGGGGTCCCTCCCACGGGAGACAGTCCTCCACAAACTTCTCCAATGTGAGTCCTTCCCACGGGCTGTGGTTCCTCACAAACTGCTCCAGCGTGGGTCCCTTCCACGGGCTGCAGTCCTTCAGGCACAGACTGCTCCAGCGTGGGTCCCCTGTGGGGTCACATGTCCTGCCAGAAAACTTGCTCCAGTGTGGGCTTCCCACGGGGTCACAGCCTCCTTCGGGCATCCCCCTGTTCCAGCATGGGGTCCTCTCTCCCTGGGCTGCAGGTGGATATCTCTTCCACCATGGACCTCCATGGGCTGCAGGGGGACAGCCTGCCTCATCATGGTCTTCACCATGGGCTGCAGGGGAATCTCTGCTCTGGCACCTGGAGCACCTCCTCCTCCTCCTTCTGCACTGACCTGGGGGTCTGCAGGGTTTGTTCTCTCACATGTTCTCACTCCTCTCTCTGGCTGCAGTTTCTGTCCCACAGAAACTTTTTTCCCCCTTCTTAAATCTGTTATCCCAGAGGTCCTACCACCATCACTGATGGGTTCAGCCTTGGCCAGCAGCAGGTCCATCTTGGAGCTGGCTGGCATTGGCTCTGTTGGACACAGGGGAAGCTTCTAGCAGCTTCTCACATAAGCCACCCCTGTAGCCCCCCCTGCTACCAAAACCTTGCCACGCAAACCCAATGCACTAACCCACTAACAAAACAAACAAAATAATTACACGAGAGACAGTTTCAAAACTGAATCTTATTTTCCTCCTCGTACAAAACCATCTCAGTAGATTTGAATCTGATGACACCACTAGATACTGCTTTGATCCTGCCATCCCACGCTCCATGCTGATACAAGCATAGAGTTTGCAGTCAACAGTTTCCACTCAGTATCCCTTCATATAGAGGAGCTATACTTTGTGCTCTGTCACGCTCCTGAAATTGGCCTAGAATGCTGGGCCCTTCC